GCAGTGTTTCTGTTGTACGTAGGGTCACTAAGAGTCCAGACCGACTCAATGGCGCCTAATAACAGTCAGTGACGTAACCTTTAGTACCCACACTCACCCCTGTTGCACTGTATTTCCTGGAGTATATCCAATTACCTCAGAGTCATTTCCACTTACAGAGTCCCCAAACCCCACTGCTCTTGAGTCAATTCCGACTCATAAAGCCCCACCAGGACAGAAAAGAACTGCCCTGTAGGATTTTGGAGGCTGTAAATCATAAGGAAATAGACAGCCTCATCTTTCTCCCATGGAACACCTGATTGGTTCACAAAGTTGACCTTCCCGTTAGCAGCCCAATGCTTAAATTAACCCTTTGTACCACCTGAGACCCTTTGGAGAACACGAAGACACCTCAGTTTCTACATGCTTAAAATGAAAACCCGTCATTTCCTTATCCCCTTCCCCCACCTGTGCTTTTCCCTCTCTTCATCATCATCAGCCTACTCGATTCCTCACCTAGAACATGGGGAGTTTCCCACCACTTTCTCCTCTCCCTTCCTCTTCAGTAACCAGTCTTTTTTAGTGTCTCTTCCACTACCTGTCAGTTTGTCTGACTGTGATGGCTTATACAGGTGACTGTGATACTAGATGTCACGTCACTGCTCATTGGAAATACCAGCAGAGTTACTCATGGTGAACAGGTTAGACGAGGAAGAAAGGCCTGGAGATCTGCTTCTGTAAATTGTCCAACGAGAACCCTATGGATCACCACAGCCTAGTGTCCAATATAAGTGCAGGAAAGAGCTCAACAAATGCAACAATGGGCTCAAATATGCTAGCAACCATATAGATGGCCTACGATTGGGCAACATCTTATTTTGTTTGGCTAGATTCATCATGAGTTGGCACTGACCTAACAGCAACCACCAATAATGGAAAGTTTCTTGAGTCAGTCTATTCTGTACCCCTTACAGACCACCCTCTTCTCCTTTCAGGCTCCTCCAGCAGTCTCGTGACCAGGCCCCTTCCCTCCACTCTCCCTACCCCAGTCCATCTTCCACACACAGATCTGATCTCATCACTTCCTGGTGCTGAACCTTCCACTGCTCTCTGTGGCTCTACAGCTAAATTCAAAGTCCAGGTGCTGGAATCCATCTAGAAGACACGTTTTTGTTGATCTACTGACCATTTTGGAAACATTATTTTATTCGTGGCCAGCATTTCAAAATCAAGATATACCACATACCAATTCAGATTTCTGGTTTCTCTTGCAAAAAACCAAAACATCTGGCTGCACTGGGCCCACATCCTTGTAGAGGAATGATTGGATAGAGCCAAGTGGTGGTTGCCTGCTCTACAGGAAGTACTGGCTTCCCAGTTTACCACAGTCTGCAGCAGCCCCTCCTGCCTCTTAGACCCGGGGCACACCCTTGCTTCCCATTGCCTGCCTGAGACTTGAGGCATTGTGTTCATGACCCCATTGCACAGGATGAAGCTCAAACCCACAGCATAGCTCCCAAGACCCTACATGGCCTAGCCTGGTCCAGACCAGCCCTGCCCACCTCTGAGCCTTAGTCCGTGCTGAACACTTTCCTACCCTGAACAGTTTCCTATCCATGGTTCTCTGATTGCCACATTCTCACTCTTGTCTATGCAACTACTTTGGAATGCCTAGCCCCTCAAGTCTTTTTGTCTTTCAGGACTCTGCTTAGTTCTTCCTCTAGTAGGAAGCATTTCCTGTTCCTCCACTTTCCCCGTAGACTGGGCTCTTGTCGACAGTTAAGTGCTGTTGAGTCGTTTTGAACTCATGATGATCCTATATAGGTTTTCCAAGGAGCGGCTGGTGAGTTTGAACCACCAACCTTGCGGTGCAGTGCTAATCCTATGGTGCCACACCAGGCCTCTTGGCTAGGCTCTGCTCTCCTAGACTATATGGCAGAGACCTCAGTCATCTCAGCCATCATCACTGTGTGTTGTACCTACTGATGGGCTTGTCTGCCTCACCTACCAGACTGAGTCTGACACTGCAAAGCAGCCTGTTTTATTTCTCTTCACATCCCCAGAGTTGTGCAAAAAGACTTATAGCAACCAGTTGCTGTCAAGTCAGTTATGACTCATAGTGACGTCATATGCTGCCGAGGAGAACTGTACTCCATTGGGGGTTCTAAGACTGTGACATTTTGGAAGCAGACTGCCAGACTTTTATGAGTAGAATATCACAGGTGCGTCATAACTGTTGAAGGAGTCCTAGTAGCACTGTAGGATAAGCACTAGACTGCTAACTGCAAGGTCAGCAGTTCAAGGCCAGCAGCTACTCCTTAGGAGAAAGATGAGACTTTCTGCTCCTGTAAAGACTTGAAGCCTTGGAAACCCTATACAGGGTCACTGTGAGTTGGAATCAGCTTGAGGCAGTGGGTTTGATTTTCATCTTTGAATAACTGTTTAGGAGCCATGGTGGCATAGTGGGTTAAGTTACCACCAGCCACTCTGAGGGAGAAAGACATGGCAGTCTGCTTCCATAAAGAAACCAATGTGTCTTATAGGGTTACTACAAGTTAGACTCGATTCAGTGGCAGGGAGTTTGGCTTAGGTTTGGTAAGTGTTGAATGAATGAATGAATCAGTGAAAGACTGACTTAGTGTAAAATGCTATTCCAGGATGTGGTGTCACCACGTATTTGCTGGGAGTGGCTACCCAGATCCAACCTCCCACCAAAGTGTCCTTTCAAAGTGACACCCAGAAACAACCATAAGCCATATCCCTGTTCTGCAAGCCTAGTCTGCAGGGATGGTAGTTTCCAGTGACAACAGAGAGGAAATGTATTATTCTTTTTTTTTTTTCTTAAATGTTTTATTGTGAATTATGTGATAATTTATATGGGAGAACATTAGCTTTACATTCATCCTATAGTATATTGTTTCATTGCCATGGTTACAATCCCCTGCATGCATCATCAAACAACCAAAGGGTACACCCCACAAGCCTGCCCTGGTCTTCAGCACACAGCCCCTCTCCCTCCCTGAGTCCAGTGTCCCCAGCTGCTCCATCTTTCCACGTCATCGTCTCTGCCTCCATCTCTGGCATCACTGCTTCTCTGGGTAGGGTCCCGCACTCCGCTCTTCTCCCTTGATGGTCCCAGGGACCTCCGCTCCTGGACTGCAAAGTCAACCACTCCCCTCCTTTTGCTCCAAAATGTCTACCTTTACACTTCCTAGTTCCTAGTGGTGATAGAGGGAAAACATCATTCTTGGTGATCCCGGGGACAAAGTTGTCTAAAGGCATAGCCTATTGTTTAGCTATTTGAATAAAAATAATAATGATATCATCTAACACTCATTCATTATACCAGACCCTAGACTAAGAATTCTCAATATAGGAATTTTAGACTCAATGAGAAAATGATTTAAATAGTCTAAAAATGAATGATATAAATGAATAATATACGATTGTTATTGTTGTTAAGTGCCATTGAATCAGTTCTGACTCATAGTGACCTTGAACCCTAGTGGCATAGTGGGTTACATGTTTGACTGTTAACCACAGGATTAGCGGTTCGAATCTACCAGTCTCTCTTTGGGAGAAAGAAGAGTCTTTCTATTCCAGTGTTATATATGTGATTGTGTGTTGGAGTGGCAGCATTGATGGACTCAAGAGTGGCAATAGTAGTGAGGTTGGCCCAGGATTGGGCAGTGTTTCGTTCAGCTGTGCATAAGGTCGCTATGAGTCGGTACCGACTCGATGGCACGTAACAACAACAACGTGTGTGTGTGTGTGTATAACGAGTGCTAAGTGCCATCGAGTCAGTTCTGACTCATAGTGACTCTGTATAGGATTTCCAAGGAGCAACTGATAGGTTTGAACCACCAACCTTGTATTAGCAGGCAAGTGCTTATCCTACAGCACCATACCAGGAGTTCATATATAT